TTTCTTTCTAGTAATAGTTCGATTCACAGTCCTATTAGCTAGACCACCTGGAAGCTCTCTGGTTAGGTTAATAAGGGAATAATCAATATCCATAGGATCATCAGGACGATTTTCTTCATTTTCCATAGCTTTCTGGGCTGTATCCCTAATATTCCTATATCGATTGATTTTTTCAAATTTTGGATTGGATTCTAGTTGGATTCTCCTTTGCATTACTTGTTCTATTAATGATTCCATGTTTCTTTGATTTTCTGATAAAAGATTATTAATATTATCTCTATTTTGGTTATATGTATCTGGCGCTCTTTTATCTAAAGCCCATGTACCTGGACCATATGTATTCTCAATATAAGCTTTAGGATCAACTTTATAATAGGTTGGTTGTGGAAGAGGCATAGCTGGTTGAATAACAGGTTCTGGAAGAGGCATAAGCTGATTAGGTTGAATGGTAGGCATAATCTGAGGTTGAACATTACCATGGCTAGTAAATGAAGTAGGTCTTCGTTCAAGCCACATATTTTTTAATGCTATGAAAAATTCGTTAATTCCTGCTGGATTTGCAATTTTCATTCTGGTGAATAGTTCATCAGGCAAGTGATTCATAATGAAAGTCAATGAATTAGCATCATCATTTGCAACTCCTAATAGTAATGGGCGAATTCTATATTCATAGGTTTCTGGTGTATCCGAATTCAAGAATTTTTCTTGAGTTAATCTCTGAATAGATGCCTGTTGACTTCCAACTGTTTCAGTCTGATATTTATGCCTAAGCCATGCTCTGAATCGAGCTTGAGTATCAATATTTTGAGCATTATGTTGTGCTGGAACTGGTGCATACTTTCCAGCCATTTTCGATTTCAAAATATCTGTTTTTACAGCATCATTGAAACCGGCAACATTTAATGCATCCCCATATGTATATATTTGACTCATTTTATCAATGAAGCCATCTGGTGGTTCCTGACCAATATACTGTGAGATTTGAGCAACAAGTGGTGATAATGATAACAATACATCTGGTAATGTAGCCATGATTGCTAATGGTTGATTAACTTGTAGTTCCAAGAGTCTAAATCTTTGTTTTAACCTTGCATGATTAACACGTAAATTTTTATCTTTTTTCTTCAACCTTGCATACTTGGCACATTCGGTTTCATAATTTACTTGTCTAGCCTGT